AAAAAAAAAAAAAAAGAACTCCACTGAATCTGTTCCTACCTGGCGACAGATTCTACTCTGTGGCCCCACTCCCAAAACTGAGAGAAAGGTTAAGCCAGATTTGGTTAAGTCAGTAGCCATGGGCACATTCCTCCCTCACCATTAATAACCACCCTTAGCCAAATTAATATCACCCACAATTCTTGCCTCTCAACCTTTTACCAAATAAGGCAGCAATCACTTGACTGGCAAATTGGAAGCTGGAGTCGGGGTGGGGATGTGGGTGGGGGAAGGGATGTGAATAAGAATAATTCATTAGCAATTCAAAAGTCACCACCTCAGAAAGGTGTTCTCTGATCACAAATCTCAAGTTGCTCCCTCAACCCCACATACATATCATCCTACTCATATTATTCTGTTTTGCTTTCTGATAGCATTTTATCACTGTGAATAAACTGTCCTGTCCATGGAATTGTTTACTTATATATTCTGTCATACTGACCTCCTATCTCTGCCCCACTAAAATGGAGAGAGAATGTAATCTCTAGGTGCAAAAGACCTTGTTCATTGTTTTATCTCCAGCTCCCAGAACCATGCCTGGCACAGAAGAGGTGCTCAATAAATATTTATGGACAGAATCTTCATCTTTGCAATCCTCTGACTAAATAAAAAAAAATCTTATTTTTTTTTAATTTTTTAATTTTTTTAAAGTTTATTTATTTTGATAGAGACAGACACAATGCCAGTGGGGAAGGGACAGAGAGTGGAAGAGAGAGAGAGAATCCCAAGCAGGCTCCACACTGTCAGCACAGAGCCCTGTCAGCACAGTTTGAGTTTGGGGCTCAAACTCACAAACCATGAGATCATGACCTAAACCAAAACCTAGACAAACCAACACTTAACTAACTGAACCACCCAGAAACACCTGATTCTTTTTTTAAAGGCTCTGTCACTGCCCATACTATAGGACTTCTCATCCTCTGGGATCCTAGAATTCCATCCTAGGGCAGAAATCAGAGCATACCCAAAGCAAGCAGTTGCAAAAGTCAAAGGATGCTTATAAATCAGAATAACTTGAAATCTAGAATTAGACTGA